TTTTCTGTAAATTCTGTGACTCTCGGGCAGCTCGACTTGTGTGAAGTGTTTCCAGCTGAGCGTCGTGTACCTGGAGTCAAGTGTTTTAACCAATGCATGAAACGATACATTTTTAGACATAAGTTGTAATGGCCGCCGTTTTCTTTGTGAGTATTTATTACACAAAAAAAGCCTGTTCTAATGTTTGAGTCTAAGGTTTATTTTTTAGCACCTGACGGCTCTTTTTTGCTTCTCATCCGTAAACACTCGGCATCCTCTTTCACGTGATTCAGTTTATTTTGAAAAGTCTCAACAGGATCTTGAGCTTTATTGTGAAAGGTTTATGTGGAAAATAAACAAGCGGACACACGATGGTTTTACCGTCGTTGTTCCTAACAACAACGCATAAAAACAGGAGCGTATTTTGTTACCATGTTTTCGGTCTGCTTGTTGCCACATAGGGAAGATATTTATCCTACGATAAAACATTTCTATCTCATCAATTTAAAGATTATAAAAAGATGTGAATCATGTCTTATGGTTGGCTGGGTTTGTCCCATTTAAATTGATCCACTCCATCAAGCTGACTGATTGATCTGGCATTGAGATGTGAAACAGCAGTTCCTCGATTAAAACTTACATCGGTTCACTGAGCACGGTGTGAGGACTAACGATTAGCCAACCAGCACCGTGGCGTGGGATTTAATCTGGTGTCAATCTGTGGAACCCAATCTTTTTTTTTTTTTTTTTTTTTTTTTTAAATTGCCACTGCTTGCCAATTTGCTGAACAACAAATACTGGACAATCATCAACTAAACAAGTAAAACTGTAAAAATTCGTAACATTTTAAGGTTCTTTAAGAGCCTTTTTAGTTCTTTTTAGTTTCTTAAGATGGTATTTTATATGTATGTAAAAAAAACAGCCAACGGGAACCACAGAGTAATATGATACTTAAACACAGTCACTTTTGTCAACACATAAAATAACGATTTTTTTTAAAGATACTGAGGCTTAGACCCTTAGGCTACAACTATACAACTGAAATCAAAGAAAGTGCTCTTAAAGCTCACGCAAAACCAGTTTGTTTCCATGGATATTAGACAGATTAATATGTAGGGCTTCAGGAATTTGTTAGAGGAAATGAAATGCCGTCCCTCACGGAAAAGGCTGCATCCATCTATTATACTGCATTTGTGCCCAAGTGATGGAAATGTCGTCACCAGGCTGTTAGCACGAGACTCTGTGCGGACTTCAAGCAGACCTCGAGTGGTCTTTAAAGAAATATAACAATAATCACTACTCATCCTCTGTTTCTGTCACTGTCCACAACCAAGTGTAAACCTCACTTAATCCTATGGCCTGCATGGTCACTAGATCACGACTACACATGGAGTATCCTCAGCCACATATTTGCTTTGAGCTGTACTACAGGAGCTAAACTTACTTGATAAATGTGATATGCTCTAACTATGATATGAGACATGGGAACACCAATGTTTATTCTCCACTTTACATCCATAATCTAAATCCAGGAGTATTAAATAAGACATAATAGAAAACACAGGTAGAAGATGAGCCTGGTGTCAAAACAATTAAATTCTTTAGTTGGTGCAGGTTTCAGTTTTTAAACCAGGTAAAATGTGCTTTTTCAACTCACAAAAGTTCATGTACTTAAGAAGGATCATAAAAATAAGGCAAATTGAAAAGTATCAAACTCTGGCCTATGTCTATGTACTTGAGAGCCTGTTCCTTGGACAATTTTAGAGTATGAAAGTTAAATCATCAATGGCTTCATTAAATATTGCACAAAAACAATAAGCCGATTCTGAGATGGGAACTTTTGATAGGTTTGGGTGCTTTTCTTGAATAACTCTGGTGCAGAGTTTCAGAGAATCATGAAAGCTAAACACTTTAGGAAGGCTAATGTGCCACACATTCACATGTCCCACCAAAACCTAAAAGGATTAGAAGTCACTAAACCTCCACATCTCCAGTGGGTGGAGTGGAGTCATGTAGTGTTGAGATGCATGCCTGCATCTCAACACTACATGACTATTGTGCCACACCATCCAAGCCCAGTGTTTATTCAGTCTGCAGAAATAAGTCCCCACATCTCTTCCCACTGCGAGTCCCCAACGTGACATGGGTACCTGTTATGTTATAATGAGCCTCACCATAAGTCCCGCAGCAGGACCTATTCATTTTGGGTTTGAAAGATTAAGAAGTTTGAGAACCTTTGCTCCAGACTAATCAGCCAGCCGTGCCTAATCTAATCACACAAATGATCTCACTGCTCTCAGTGGCAGCTTGCTCTGAAATTAAACGTTTATAACAATTACCAGATATTCTGTTTTTCTACTGGGGGGTGGGAAGCTTTATTTAAGGATAACAGTGTCACGTTTTATCTATAGCACAGCTTCACTCTGGAGTGGTCTAGCCTATTTGGAGGACACTTGTGCAGCTTGGGCGCTCCACCACCTGACATATGGGTGGGGTGTGGCGTGGTGAAGGAAGGCCATGCATCTCCTTACACTGAGTTATGCTCTGCTGGACTACACTGTGACGCTTGTGAGCTGAAACCCCAGTATAGTGAAAGAATTACAGTCTGGGAAACTTCTGGACATGCAGAGTTAATGATTCCTTACACAGACGAGGGGTTGTGTATTTGTCTGCGCGTGTGTGCTGTGTAGTATGCAACACTGGCCAACGGCTGGCCAGCTTCAATCCTGGTAATCGGCTCAAGAGGAGAAGAGAGGGGACCCTGTGGCCCCCCTACAGCCTTATCCAAGAAAGGTGGGGGTGGGCAGCTCGCCTAAAAACACAGCAGCTGACACAATCACAGTCATAGATTTAAATTAAAACTACTTAACCACAAAATGCACCAGTCACAGGCAGGACTGGATGCAAGGACATGTCCTGAGGGGGGCACAGGGTGGCACCAGGCATCCCTCTACCAATGCTATTTTGCTAGAGCACTATTAGGCCATCTAGTAGTATATAAATAATGAAAAGCATCTCTACTAGCAGCATTAAAAGTGATATGCACACACTCTTGAATCAATAATTATGATCCAATAATGTGTTTATGACTGAAGGTTCTTTCTCATTAGGCAGTTGTAGTTGAACTATTTATATATTTTGATGGTAAATATCTAAGAAAATGGACTAGATTAGATTTGGGCAAAATATGAGGGCCAGAATTTCACTGTAAATCATTTTGGTCCAGCCCTTCAATACTAAAAAAATTAATAAATTTAAAAAAAAAAATAGTATTAAGCTAAGTGTGGAGTCTGTAATGCATTTACCTCTATTCTAAAACAGTGCATTTCATCAGGTCCAGTCACTCAAACCTACCTTGAGTGCCGGCACCTGCAGAATGAAATTCAGATTAAATTAGAACTATTTTATTTGTTTTATCTTGTCATTAATGTTAACGTCTTGCTTTGGTCTCAGTGGTACAGACAGAAAATGCGGGAATCTTGTTTAACTCCACATTTGTCTGGGCTTTAGCCAGTGTAGATGTTATGTGATGTTGTTAGCTGCTAGGCTAAACAGCATCACCAGTTTTCTTGGTTGCGTTGAATTGGCAACGTTATTGCAACTCTCATCAATCATGCTGACGTCCTGTGAGCCACCACATTTCAAAAATCCTGGAAACGCCCCTGGTTTGCTGGACACTGGACTTAGTAAGGACTAGAGACATCGCCAAGCCCTTGCTACTGTTCGGCAAGGAGGCGTTTCTTATCCCGTCATGTCATTAGTAAACAGCCACAACCTGAGTCCAGACGGGCGGTTTAATTACAGCACTGCTGCTCCGCCGTGTTGTAGGGTCAAATTATTGCTGGTCAAACAAGCAGCTCGTACCAAGCTAGCTCGTGTGTGAGGACAATGCAGGACGACATGACATAGTCAGTGTGATGCACAGACAGCTCCACAGACATACAGGAGAGGGGCTGTCCTGTGGGTGGTGGGCTAGCAGCATCTGAGTGCCCAGCTAAGCATCCACACCCTGCTTGTAGCTAATACTTTAAGCTTTTATCTATATGCCTAACGTATCAAGCAACCTGACCGTGTTACTGGGTTTGTCAGCCATTGCAGGCAGTGCCGCGAGTGCGCTGCACGCACTGTACACGCCGGCTATATTACAACTTTGCTCCCTCATTTAAAAAGCGCAAATATGTAATGCATAAATCACCAATAAGACGGCAGGAGCTAAACTTACTTGATAAATGTGATATGC